GGCCACTTGCTGTATGCGTCCACTACCTGAAGGTAAGTTTGTCCATGGAATGGACCAGCGAAGTCTAAATGTATACGCTGCCACGGTGACTGTGGTATCAGCCATGATTGCAACTCTGCTTTTCGTGGTGCTTTTGCTGCCAATGCACATTTTGTACACGAACGGGATAGCTGCTCGAGTTGGGTATCTAATTGTGGCCAGTATACATAACTTCGTGCTAGAGCTTTCATGCGGTTTATTCCAGGATGTCCTGCATGCAGCTGTTCGAGGACTGCCGGTTGCAACTTCTTTGGGATTATAACACATTCAGCAAACATGAGACAATCGTCGATGATTGAAAGAGATAATCTGCGCTGATAAAACTGCTGTAGCTCTGTTGAACTGATCTTCGAGGGCCACCCTTCTAGATGGAACTTTCTGACTTCTTGTAGAACAGGGTCTCGAAGAGTCTTTTCTGACGACACTGGAGTGTTTCGGATTCCCGCTGCTACTACACTCCGTATTTCTGGATCAACTGATATCGAGGCAATGATCATGTCCTCCGGTCCAGGATGCTGAACTCCAATAAGTCGTGAGAGGGCATCGGCTTGACCGATAGTATAGGTTGACTGATACCTTATGTTAAAGTCGTAGCTCAAAAGCATTGTTGCCCAGCTCTGTAGTCTGTTAGCTGTGTAAACAGGAATCCCTTTCTTGGAACCGAATATTGCAATCAGTGGTTTGTGGTCTGTCAACAGAGTGAACTTACGGCCGTAAAGCATTTTATGAAATCTTTTGACAGCAAAAATGATTGCCAGAGCTTCCTTTTCGATTTGACTGTAGTTGCGTTCGGCTGGGGTAACTGATCTGGCAGCATGGGCGATTGTCTTCTCTGTTTTGTTTGGAAACACGTGTGATATAACTGCTCCAACTCCGTGACTAGATGCATCAGATGCGACAACAATTTCCAAGCTGGGATAGAAGTGTGTCAAGAGAAGCTTTGAGCTGAGCATTGACTTGACTTTGTCAAAGGATGATTGACATTCTGCTGACCACTGCCAAGGTTTATCTTTCGATAGTAATTCATTCAGAGGGCCTCTCACTCGATGCATTTCAGGCAAAAATGTGCTGTAGTGACTAACCAATCCCAAGAATGATCTTAATGAAGGGACGTCAGTTGGTACGGGCATTTTCTGAATGGCTTCTATATTGGCAGGGTCTGATCGTCGGCCGTTCTTATCTAGGATGAAACCAAGGTATTTGATCGAATGCATAAAGAAGATACACTTTTCTTCACATAGTTGGAAACCATATTTCAACACTCGGTTGAGAACTTGGTGTAGACGATTGGAGAGTTCACTGTTAGTGGAACCCATAACTATGATGTCATCTAGATAAGCTGCTGCACCCGGTATGCCAGTTAGCATTATATCCATTATTTGCTGAAAGATGGCAGGTGTGGTCTTGATGCCGAATGGTAGGCGGGTGTATTGAAGTAACCCTCTATGAGTGTTGATAGTCAGAAGCTCTCTACTGTCGTCATCTATCTCTACTTGCAGGTAGGCATCCGAAAAGTCTATTTTCGCGAAACATTTACCACCATTTAGTTTAGCAAACAGGACTTCAGGAACTGGTAACGGATATTGATATTCATCCAATGCAGCATTTAAACCCGTTGAGAAATCAGCACATATGCGGATAGTTCCATTGGCCTTTCTAATCACTACAATCGGCGCGGCCCATGCAGAGTAATTAACCGGTTGGATTACACCAGCTTGCTGCAAACGATTAAGTTCCTGATCGACTAATTCAAGAGCAGCATATGGCACAGGACGTCTCGGGCGAAAAATCGGTTTGGCATCTGCTTTCAGGGGTAAATGAGCTTTCACTTTAGTGCAGTGACCAAGGCTATTCTGGAAGACAGCGGCGAATTTTCTCTTCAGTTTTTCTAGAACTTTTTCACCTGTCTTTTTTGCATATGAAGTGGTGTCTAATGATGGACACGACACGTTACAAACGCTGTTGATGGGTATATCCATTAATCCAAGCTTTTCTAACATATTTAGACCAAGTAGATCAGGGTTTGGTCGTTCTGTTAGATAGCATACTCCTTTACAGCTATTTCCATTGAAGGAAAATTCACATTGTAATTCACCAACTAGCTTCAGTACACCTCCAGATACGTTTTTAGCCGTTTTCTTGGATGGCTTCATTGGCGGCTTTCCCAGCAAATTATACGTCTCTCTAGACACTAAAGTAATATCGGATGCTGTATCAATTTGAAGACGAGGCGCTATACCATTAATCTGGATCGTAACATACTTTCTTCGAATGTCATAGTCTGTTTGAAAGGCTGCTACCAGAGAAAGAGATTTAGATTCGGCTGACTTCATGTGTCGAGGACGTTTGTGCTTCTGCTTAGGCTGGGACGTACGATTTGGTGGACAATGGCCTTCTTTATGTCCACATCTGTTACACACCTGACACTTATGCTTCTTAAATGGACAGAACCGTACATAATGCCAATCGCCGCATAACCAACAGGCATCCGTTGGTTTGTTATAAGTTTTATTGGGCTTCTGGCTTTTTAACCTAGTTATAGCATTTACACTACTGCAGGTTAAATTAGAATTTACCTGTTCAATTAGCTGATTGTCGTGTCTGATGTTTTGTAGTCGTTTACACTCATCTGTCAATGTCTTGAGTGTGACGTTTGGGTCTTGATTCAAACGAGTTAGAAGTCTGGTTCTAATTTCAGCATCTTGTGGTGACTGCAGAGCTTTGATGAATACAAGGCATTTAAATTGATCTTCTGTCAACGAGCGTAACTTGAACCGTTCACACTCTCTGTTGACGACGTCTGCTAGAGCACCATATTCATCGGCTTCTCGTTTCACCAAATTGAGACACTGATATCGAATACTAAACAATGAGGAAGATTCGCCGAATATCTCTGACAACTGCATTACTGTTTCCTCGAAACTGAGCTCTCGAGGTAACTTTGGCAATAAATTATCAGCATAACGTGCATGCTCATTGCTTCCCAAAATACGCATCAACAACCGAGTCTTCCATGCGTCAACTTGTTGACAGAATTCTATTCTAAATGTATCTTCCCAACGCTTGAACCACGTGAGAAAGGTATTTCCACATTCGGGATCATATATGAATTCTGAGATGCTGCTAGCAACTGCATCACAAGAAGTACCTGAAACAGCATGTGAACTCGAGTTTTGGATGATAAACTGTTGCATCAGAGTCTCCAACAACCGCATTTGTGCATCAAGTTGTGCTTGTTGTTGTTGTAGTATTCGGCTGAGCTGGTCATCTGATATAGGCATTTTGAATGAATTTTCCTTTTTCCTCGTCGCCACTGTTATAATTGTAATTTTTGCTATATAAACGACCCAGCTATTCCTACTGCTTAGTATTCTTATACGATGACACTCGACAAGACCCCAAAATCAGAACACGTTGAACAGGAATGAAGTTGTATTTAAAATAATAATAATAAGTGAACAGCAATCAACAATCAATAGTTTGAATAATGTTCATATATTTATAGTATATACATAAGAAGCTTATAGATTTTTCCGCAATAATATGCCCGGGCTGATCGGTTTAAAAATTGACCAATCAGCGCGCAGCAACACCATCATGCATAAAACATGCTTAATCCAATCTATATCCCACTAACATAATGTATGGGACAGAAACTTGAGGAACTAGGGAAACCATCATCCAGAAGCTACAGATGCTTATTTACAGTTGCCTGCACAAGATACTTCGGATTCGTTGGCCAGACACTGATAGCAACATTATACTGTGGGAAAGAACAAACCAGATTCCAGCGGAAGAGGAAATCAGAAAGAAGCTCTGGAAGTGGATGGGACACACATTGAGGAAATCACCCAACTGCGTCAAAATGCAAGCCTTCACATGGAATCCTCAAGGTCAGAAAAGGAAAGGGAGGTCAAAGAACACATTACGCCGAGAGATGTAAACTAACATAAGAAGAATGAACAACAATTGGATAGAACTAGGAAGGAAAGCTCAAGATAGAGTGAGTTGGAGAATGCTGGTCGGCGGCCTATGCTCCATTGAGGGTAACAGGTGTAAGTAAGTGAGTAAGTATTTGTGTTATGTTTTGTTATTTGGTTTGATCTATGACTTACAAATAATCAATATGGTTCTAAAACAGATGAAATATATTGCAAACTCTATAAGAGGGCAACTGATACACATAACTCTTGAACAGTATCTTTCAACTAATAAATACACAAAGAAGGAAACAGTACATCAGAAAGCTTGATATTTAAAAAAGAAAACGTCAAAGTGGAACAGCTCTATGTAGATAATAACCAGTCTGATCTTGAAATGAAAAATTTAGCGAATTAAAACTGGTAACAATCAGTCAGAAAATAGCATAGGGAATGAAGAAATGGGATTTTGGAAATTATACTCTTGATGATTGTTACAAGAAATATGTGACACTTATTTACTGGGATTTAGCCAAAGGTAATCAATTGAATTAAGATGACTTATTCGATTGTGAATTGTCCAAATAACATGTTGTGAATTCCTGACTTGTCCAGACTTGTCTCATCAGTCATCATTCACGGAAAAAGTTAGGTCTGTGGTTTGTGCAAATTTACAAAGTTTAAACATAACTTCATGAATTGACATCACTTAGAATATATATATATATATATATATATATATATATATATATTAATAGTTGAATTCATTAGGTGATGTAAGCTAGACCACCATTGAAAACCCGGAAGCAATGAAATGCCGTTTTGTCCTAGTTTGGAACTCCTTGGAAAAGCGCATCCACAATCCCCCATGTGGAACTCGAAGCCATGACCTTCGGTCTCCAGTGAGAACGCCTAACCTCTAGACCGCTGAGTTGTTAAGATCTAACTTCAATCGATCCATGATATTAAGCGACCCTTCATCCATTGTCTGAGGTAAATACCTGACTCTACCCGACACGGATTGAAATCCATTGGTCACGGCTTCTCACTAGAACTCCAGGAAATTCATCTTGAAGTTAGTCGCTAATGGGTATATATATATATCAGAGTAGAAACCATTAGTTAGTGTGGTTTGGTAAATTTCTCGTTGGTCAGATATTTGATCCATTGAAACATGCGCAAACAGTTTATATCCAGTCTTTGAATAGATCATTATTAAATACTGTTATAGAAGTGATGTAGCATTAAAAAAATACTGATTACAACTTATTAATACTTGAGTGTAAATTGTAAGTTAGCTTTCACTAAAATTAAGTTTACTGGTTTATGACATCATCTTTAAAAAATTAAACCTAAGGACTTAATGCTTTGCTCAGAACACTTAGTTGACTACTAAAATGATGCAGTATTTCTAATGACCACCTTAAATCCATCAGTCATATTTTTTAGTGGTGCTAAATTCTTTGAACTTGATTGTTTGATTGCAGACCCTTCATTGTTATTCTCGAGATCATCATCATAATTCATTGGTTCAGAACGTTAATAAATGTTACACAGATAGAATTTTTATTTTCAGATAGTGGAACAAACATTTTTATTCGACTAAAATATGCTATCCACCATCTCAGTTTGACCTATCTTGCTATGATCAATAGCTTAGAGGAAATACTTATATTCCTTTTAATTGTGATAAACTAACTTATTTACACCAAAATAATTACCATAATTTGACTATGCATTTATATCCATTAATTTCACTATGATGATATCATTTAGATGTTACAATCTGTCTTCCTTCAACTTTGTGAGAATGGATAGTTCAATGGTAGCTGACAGATGAATCTAGAACATTAGAGTCATCCTATTTTGGGATTTCGCGGCTAAGTGTATCCTTATGGTTGATGTGTATACGGAAACTGAAACTCAGTGTCCTACTCTTAAGACTTCGGTAAGTTATTGACTAATCAACTGAGTTACAATAGGATAATAATCTCTTTCTTAATTATGTAATAACTGCATAGAAAACACTAATGAGTCAAATGAATTGACATTTTGAAGAAAAAAAATTGTATCGATCACTTTCCAATCATCATTTCACTTGTATTGAAATTATTATCACTTGATAGAATACCGGAATATCTGAATTGGTAAAATGGATATATTTTTCCTCAAGAATTAATCCTCGAAGTGAATTATTCCTGGAACCTATTTCTGCTTCTAATAGATTTCATATATTGTAATAGTATAGCTGACCGATCACAAAATTAATTGAAATTAGTGGTTACCATGTTAATTTCTTTTCAACTTTGTTATAATGTTTTGGATCAAGACACAGTGATGATTTTCATAAACTTCATTTAATGTATTTGTCAATGAAAATGTAACTCATGTCTATGAAAACTCTATCTCTTCATAAATACATGACATAATTTCAATGTTAAAAATATTTTTTCTGCCCAGTGAATATGTGAACAACAACTAAACATTGAACTTTTGATGTAATTTGAGAAAAAATATTTAGGAAATAATCTAAATGTTATGGGCTATTTGTGAAGATAAACCAATTAATAAAATGCCACTTTCTAAATAATTTGGGTGCTTTGGTGCTTTAGGCTACAATAACGATGAGAAGACAGCTGAAGTTATTTTATGAGAATTCCCATGGATGTTCAAGAAAACTGAAGTAGAGAAAAAATATTTTCTAAGACGATAAAATGGATATATCTAAAATTTTGTAAAAATGTGATTTTTATAACTATTTGTTGGATAATTTATGTATAATCAATATTTTTCTGTAGCTTATCTAATGTAGATTAAAATACTAGTTTGCTTAAGTAATAGACAAGAAGAACATTCTATCCTTCAACTCTTAAATGTACTTGTCCTAATAGTTATCTGTCAATCGTTCACAAAAATAGGCTTATCAAATCCCTTTTTAAAAAAATATATGTTTATATAAACACACAAAAAATAGATCTGGCACATTCTCTTTTTTCAGTTTTCATTTTAGATCCTATAATCAAATTGAGGAAAATACTTCAATTTGATTGGTCAGATGAACTACATTCTGGTTGGTCATTGAAATATTCCCAATTAAGTAATTACTCTTAACTTATACCCATTATAACTGATCATGATAAGCATATATATATATATAGAGAGAGAGAGATAAAACATTTAAAAGAGGGATTTTTAAAAATAAAAGTTAAAATAAAGGTCAAATCACTTTAGTCAATAATAAATAATCTAATAATTATGATACAATGGACATTTAATCCTGAAAGAGATTCCTTCAAAATAACAGTAAAATGTAATTGAATGATCATGATTGAAACGATCGGAATTATAAACATTGATGCTTTTAAACAAAAAAAATAAGAATAACCATTACAATTGAGAATAATTTGAATGATCATTACTTGAATAAAGCATAACTCTTGATCTTTTACTATTTTTAATAAATAAAAAAAATATGTAAGTTTGAAATGTTTGATATTTTTTTATCATCTCGTAACTTTAATTTCAGTAGTATATTAATTTTATGAAAAACTTTGTATACTTCAAGGGTTATATGATAAATAATAAATTTGGTATACCGTATATTTGTAACGGTAACCGTTAGTTGGCAGTAATTCTCTAAAAATTTGTGCTTTTAGAGTCAATTGTAGGGACTGAAAAGTAGTTATATGTCTATCAGAAACTCTAATATTTAAGAAAAGATTGTAAACATAGCATAATTGACAGTAATATATGGGTTTAGACAGGGAGAATAAAAAGTGATCATTAGTTTATGAACAACTACATATTGCTGAAGTTTTTTGATAAGGATTCTTAGAAGGGGGTTTTTGTAGAGATTTCAGTAATTTTATATAGTTGAAACCATGAGTCAATTGAAGCACTGTACGGCCGACACTGATAGGTCCTGGGTTCGAATCTCGCGAGGCGGGATCTTGGATACGCACTGCTGAGGATTCCCACAATGGGACAAAACGGTCATCCAATGGTTCCAGGTTTTCCATGGTAGTCTAGCTTCAATAGACTCATGGTTTCAACTATATGATAAGAATTCGTTTGTTTATTATAATTCAGATGTATTAATAACTGCTGAATGTATTTTTTTTACAGTTTAAGGGAATCACTCGGCCTAAAATAGTTTAAATTCAGTGAAACGTTTATTTTAAAAAAATTCCGAATTACAGAATTTCGCACATATTAGACAAGCAAAGCTGTAGGGAAAATAATTGCACATTAAGAGTTCACAATGTTCTTTTCACTTTAAAAAAAAGATAATTTTGTTTTTCTGATAAAAAAATTGTTTATTTGATTTTTTGAACTATACAATTATTGATTTTCCATAGATTAAATATTTTGAATAATTAGATTTTACTTTTAAAGAATAAATGGAAAGCATTATATTGACTTCTTCAATGTGTAAATACTCTAATAAGTACTATTTCTTGTAGTTATTTTGTTGTGAAGCCGATTTTAAATTCTTCAAATGAATCGTTTGTATGTTCAATCAAGTCAGATCTGGTATTGTTTGAATTCAAAACATTCTGAATTTACTACATGTAACATGAAATTATATGTCTTAGATGTGTAGAATTTACCTAATCAACTAATCTATAAGAAATTATATGCTGATTATATTACGTTCAGAAGGGAGGTTTTGTGGATAATTTAGTAATTTTATATAGTTGAAACCATGAGTCAATTGAAGCTAGAGCACAATGGAAAACCTGGAAGCACTGGACGACCGTTTCGTTCTATTGTGGGACGTTCACCAGATAACATTAGTAATAAGGCATAATATTTAACGATAGAAATAACGCAAAAACTTAAGGTACAAAAAAGTGAACAATTTGCATTATAACTGTCATGTTTCATATTTTCACTCAGTAGTAACAAAATTAATTAACTGCTTCTATATATAGTTGATAGTCCATCAATAATAGCTCAAAATATAATACATTTTAATGGGTATTATAAATTTGTGCATTATGTTATTGCCCCATTATTATCAAGTGCTATTTAGTTTCAATGATTCAAATTTGACAGTTTATTAATATATGTTTAAATACAGTTTTTGATTTATCTTCTTCTGTTCAGGTCTTTTTCTTCTTCCTTGGTACTGATTTACATCCGTTTTCTTTCTTTTACATAGTCACAATATGTATAGATTCTATACAATTTTGTAAGTTATTTTACAATATGAATGAATATCACTAGTAAGACCATAGGACAACAGGATGTATAACTTATTTTTTATTGTAATTCATTTCAATCAAACAACTTACTGACATAATAAAACTTCCTTTATATTACTATATACTTAATGAAAAATCCTTTTATATATTAAAGTTATACAGAAAGTTATTGATTAAGTTAAAACATTATCTATAAAAAGAGTGAAATCCAAATGATAATTTGTTGATCAATTTAAATTATTTACTACTTTTCTCAATGTTTTCTTCTCTTTTTTACAATTCTTTAGTTATATTGTAATCAAAAATGGATAGTGGCTAGCAGTGGAATCCAGCTTGACGTGCGTTTCGTCCTATTCGACACTCGTCAGCTGGATGTACCTGCATCACAGAGTTGATGTTCACTCTGGGACTCGAACCTAGTACCTTTCGCTTCAAATGCCATTGTATTATCCACTTAACTACTAAGTCCTGATAGCCAATTGCTTATGCAATAAGGTGAAGGTTAAATTCATTTAATATTGTTTGTCTGAATCTATCCATTGATGTTTAAGGCTGTAATTGATCAGTCTCTTATTGACATATGTGCATACTGTGCGTATTACCTCGATATAGCCTCAATTCACAAGCATGGTAAGCAAAAATGGATAATGGCTAGCAGTGGAATCCAGCTTTAAGCGCGTTTTATCCTATTTGAGACTCATCAGCTTGATGTACCTGCATCACAGAGTTGATGTTCACTCTGGGACTCGAACCTAGTACCTTTCGCTTCAAATGTCATTATATTATCCAATTAACTACTGAGTTTTGATAGCCAATTGCTTATGCAATAAGGTGAAGGTTAAATTCATTTAATATTGTATTTTTGAATCTTCTTATTGAGGTTTAGGACTGCGATTATTTTTATTATTGATTATTTCTTTTAATTACATTAAATTAATCACTAAAAATTATTGAATTAATATCATTATTGAAATAAGATCTATTTATAAATGATAATCTTTACTTACATAAATATTTTTTTTAAAAAAATTATACCGGTTAATATTTATTGATTTTTATTATGATCAAATTAGTCTAAATTGATTAATGTATTTATTATTTAATATATATTTCTCGATGGTAATCAATAAAATTAGAATTTTTATTTTCAATATATATAGTTAAATCGATTTTTATCATTTGAATTGATTAAAAATAGATCATCTTTTTTCCTTATATCTTAAGTTTTATAAATAATTTTTACTTTTAATTCTATGAAGTAATACTTTCTTTTAAAATTATATCCTCAACTACATTGATATTTTATCTGATTATAATAATTGAGTTTGAGTAAAAAATAAAATTGATTTCTATTGTCAATGGATTTGTTAGATGATTAAATGATCAGTTTACTAGACAATGTGGTTAGTCTTTAAAACTTAACGTCACAGAGTTAATATCAGCTTTGGAATGTAGATAGACTCAGCTGATAAATTCCAAATACGTAGAGCTCTTTTCCTGTATTTCATTACTAACTACACTCTATCTATGCTATAAAAAATGATGACTAGATCGAGGCAATCTTCACTAGATGAGCAAATATCAATGAGGATTGATTAATATTCAATCAAAAATATTAAAAATGGGATCATTTTCATCATTACAAATTAAATTGAATAATCAACTGTCTTGCCTTATAACTTTTCTGAAATGTAGTTAATATATTTCTTTTATACTTGCATTCAAATTAGACTAAATGTTATTATAAAACTTTCTTGTTTTAATTTTGTTCACTCAACAATGGACATGTGATTTACATATTAACAGAAATTACACTGTATATTTAACGCTTACCAACATGAAATGTTGATTTTTTTTCGAGGTCATTAAATTACAACTAATTGAATAGGTGTTTGACATAGTGAAAATAAAAGTATTTTGTTCATGTATACCAAATACATTCAATACATGCAAAGCTAATTTCACACGTAGGCAATACACTAGAATTAGGTCAACCACACGACAGTTTTAAAAAAAATGTAATTCATTCAACAAATGAATTGTGTTGTAAATTTTATTATAGTGTTTGTAACTGTTTGTAGAGAATGTTCGTTAATAACTGTATATGCATTAGTTAAGTTTTCGTCTCGCTTGCCATATATATATATATACTGGAAATTTTGGTCAAACACATGACGTTATTTCGCACGACACAGGGTAAATATGTTCTAAGCACATCTTTTTAAATAAGAAAGATAAATCACCGATGTTGTTAATAAGTAATGACTTCAAGACCGAAGGTTCTGATTTAAAACCCTGCATGCGCACTACTGAGGAGTCCCATATTAGGACGAAACGGCCGTCTAGTGCTTCCAGGTTCTAAACGGTGATCTAGCTTAGATAGATTCATGATCTCAGCCATGAAAAGACTATAATCACCATAAATTTCCATGCTGATAGTAAGTAATAAGTAATTTGACATTTATTCAATTTCAATATACTACACTAAATTATATGGACGTTCAAGTGATACATTTCACTGAGAGTGGTTTAAAATGAATGTTCAGAAGATAATACAATCTTAGGTAATGTTTTCAAGGCAAACAAATTAAATGCATTATCACATTTTAACCTGATTTATTCCTTTTATGTAGCTAAAACTAGTCGCTGACGGAAGCAATCCATTATGGCATGAAAGGGTGACTGTTTATCGATGAAATTTTCTTCTCTTAACAGAACTTAATTGTCCATACTTATAATATTTTACATACCATACTTATATACCTTCCAGTGGCTTAAAATTAACTGCTATGATATTATTTTTTGGCCCGATGAACTTATTTTTTAAATAGTTAAAATATGTGTACTTAATATACTTACCAAAATATTAATAACTATAGATATTGAACACCGTTGAACTAATCCAATGAAAATAATCACTAAAAGGTCACATAACAATCTATTCATGTCATTATTTATATTCAACTGAACAAGAACAATGAATAAATGACAAATCTAAGGAGTTTTCATTTCACTTTGAGTATTTCTAGTAAAATCACTTTAATGTCTCTTCAAGTAACCATCAATGATACAATCATTAATTCATGATTGCTTTGGTTAGTTAGAGAACTCTAGATAGAAAATTACTTTATGAGCTTGTGTGAACTTTTATCAGCTAAAATTCTTCGAATACCGATTAACCATGTCCACATTTATGTACTATACTGCTTAGCATAGGAAGAGGTTGGATAAAGAGTCAAGAGTCGACTGACCAAAACATAACATGCA